TTGACTGACAGTCATTTTGGTGTCACCCCCTATGAAAAGTCCGGCACTCGGTCATGGGAGAGGAGGGAGCGTCACCCGCCGGGTGAACGTCCCCTCCTCTTTCTCTGCCGGCATCCATCACCAAGATGGCTGCCGGCAGGCTTCAATCAGATGGCCACGCATGTGTGATGACGTCACGCGCGATGACGACACGGCGGGGTGACACCCGGCCTCAGGACGCTTCTGGGGCTGATATAGAGAATATTCGGCTGATAGGAGTGTACAGAAGTGCGTCTTCATCACTATAGAGGAAGATATAACATATACATTGTATCGGAATTCACCGGGCCGTTTCCTCATCTTCCTCTGATTTCTGTTTTCGGGAGACGATAGAACCCAAATTCGTTCCCAGTGGAGTCATGTGACCCGGTGACATCACTACTTTCCCAATACGAGTTATATATCACATATTATTATGTATCACAGAAGGGACATCTCTATATTACCTCTCACTGGTCACATGGCAACAAAAGTGACATCTAGATACGTTATTACCTCTCACTGGTCACATGGGTACGAAAGTGACATCTAGATACGTTATTACCTCTCACTGGTCACATGGCAACAAAAGTGACATCTACATACGTTATTACTTCTCACTGGTCACATGGCTACAAAATGACATCTAGATATGTTATTAACTCTCACTGGTCACATGGCCACAAAAGTGACATCTAGATACGTTATTAACTCTCACTGGTCACATGGCCACAACAGTGACATCTAGATACGGTATTACTTCTCACTGGTCACATGGCTACAAAAGTGACATCTAGATATGTTATTACCTCTCACTGGTCACATGGCAACAAAAGTGACATCTACATACGTTATTACTTCTCACTGGTCACATGGCTACAAAAGTGACATCTAGATATGTTATTACCTCTCACTGGTCACATGGCAACAAAAGTGACATCTACATACGTTATTACTTCTCACTGGTCACATGGCTACAAAAGTGACATCTAGATATGTTATTACCTCTCACTGGTCACATGGCAACAAAAGTGACATCTACATACGTTATTACTTCTCACTGGTCACATGGCTACAAAAGTGACATCTAGATATGTTATTACCTCTCACTGGTCACATGGCAACAAAAGTGACATCTACATACGTTATTACTTCTCACTGGTCACATGGCTACAAAAGTGACATCTAGATATGTTATTACCTCTCACTGGTCACATGGCAACAAAAGTGACATCTACATACGTTATTACTTCTCACTGGTCACATGGCTACAAAAGTGACATCTAGATATGTTATTACCTCTCACTGGTCACATGGCAACAAAAGTGACATCTACATACGTTATTACTTCTCACTGGTCACATGGCTACAAAAGTGACATCTAGATATGTTATTACCTCTCACTGGTCACATGGCAACAAAAGTGACATCTACATACGTTATTACTTCTCACTGGTCACATGGCTACAAAAGTGACATCTAGATATGTTATTACCTCTCACTGGTCACATGGCAACAAAAGTGACATCTACATACGTTATTACTTCTCACTGGTCACATGGCTACAAAAGTGACATCTAGATATGTTATTACCTCTCACTGGTCACATGGCAACAAAAGTGACATCTACATACGTTATTACTTCTCACTGGTCACATGGCTACAAAAGTGACATCTAGATATGTTATTACCTCTCACTGGTCACATGGCAACAAAAGTGACATCTACATACGTTATTACTTCTCACTGGTCACATGGCTACAAAAGTGACATCTAGATATGTTATTACCTCTCACTGGTCACATGGCAACAAAAGTGACATCTACATACGTTATTACTTCTCACTGGTCACATGGCTACAAAAGTGACATCTAGATATGTTATTACCTCTCACTGGTCACATGGCAACAAAAGTGACATCTACATACGTTATTACTTCTCACTGGTCACATGGCTACAAAAGTGACATCTAGATATGTTATTACCTCTCACTGGTCACATGGCAACAAAAGTGACATCTACATACGTTATTACTTCTCACTGGTCACATGGCTACAAAAGTGACATCTAGATATGTTATTACCTCTCACTGGTCACATGGCAACAAAAGTGACATCTACATACGTTATTACTTCTCACTGGTCACATGGCTACAAAAGTGACATCTAGATATGTTATTACCTCTCACTGGTCACATGGCAACAAAAGTGACATCTACATACGTTATTACTTCTCACTGGTCACATGGCTACAAAAGTGACATCTAGATATGTTATTACCTCTCACTGGTCACATGGCAACAAAAGTGACATCTACATACGTTATTACTTCTCACTGGTCACATGGCTACAAAAGTGACATCTAGATATGTTATTACCTCTCACTGGTCACATGGCAACAAAAGTGACATCTACATACGTTATTACTTCTCACTGGTCACATGGCTACAAAAGTGACATCTAGATATGTTATTACCTCTCACTGGTCACATGGCAACAAAAGTGACATCTACATACGTTATTACTTCTCACTGGTCACATGGCTACAAAAGTGACATCTAGATATGTTATTACCTCTCACTGGTCACATGGCAACAAAAGTGACATCTACATACGTTATTACTTCTCACTGGTCACATGGCTACAAAAGTGACATCTAGATATGTTATTACCTCTCACTGGTCACATGGCAACAAAAGTGACATCTACATACGTTATTACTTCTCACTGGTCACATGGCTACAAAAGTGACATCTAGATATGTTATTACCTCTCACTGGTCACATGGCAACAAAAGTGACATCTACATACGTTATTACTTCTCACTGGTCACATGGCTACAAAAGTGACATCTAGATATGTTATTACCTCTCACTGGTCACATGGCAACAAAAGTGACATCTACATACGTTATTACTTCTCACTGGTCACATGGCTACAAAAGTGACATCTAGATATGTTATTACCTCTCACTGGTCACATGGCAACAAAAGTGACATCTACATACGTTATTACTTCTCACTGGTCACATGGCTACAAAAGTGACATCTAGATATGTTATTACCTCTCACTGGTCACATGGCAACAAAAGTGACATCTACATACGTTATTACTTCTCACTGGTCACATGGCTACAAAAGTGACATCTAGATATGTTATTACCTCTCACTGGTCACATGGCAACAAAAGTGACATCTACATACGTTATTACTTCTCACTGGTCACATGGCTACAAAAGTGACATCTAGATATGTTATTACCTCTCACTGGTCACATGGCAACAAAAGTGACATCTAGATACGTTATTAACTCTCACTGGTCACATGGCCACAACAGTGACATCTAGATACGGTATTACTTCTCACTGGTCACATGGCTACAAAAGTGACATCTCTAGTAAAGTAAAGTCTGGTGTCCTTAAAGAGTATGTAAAGGCAGAACTTTTTTTTCACTACAGCAGTGTAAGTACCTGGATGTGACCTGGTATCAGCCTCTTGGAGCCCATGTACAGCAAAGCTCAGGCTGGGGAAGGGGAAAGCAGCACAAGGAATCAATCAGTTTATGTATTGACAAGAAGCATGCTGGCAGGAGGAGAGAGCATCATGAAAGAGAGATGAGATCATCACTGTGCTGCTTTTCTTTTACTGCCCAGTGGGTGGGTGGGGGGGCGGTCCATGATAGCCTGGGCTCACAGAAAGGGAGGTTGAATGATGCTGGCTGTCATTAAACCCAAAAGACTGAGGACATCTAGTGGCAGAAGGGAAGAACTGCTGCAGGGACAGCTTTAGATTGATGGGGGAGAATTTTTTTTAAGTAATTAATTTTTGGGGGCAATTGTACTTTAGATTGAAATCTGGACAATGTGTATTGGATGAAGTAGGAAAAGGTAAGAACCAATGAAAAGATTATAATTTACTTCCAGTGTGTTCACTAGGACAGGAAGTGTGAGGAAATCTACCCCATGGTGACACAGACCTGAAAGAAAATGTCAGAAAACTTAACTTCCATTTTCTTAGTTTAAATTATGTTTTGTTTTACAGCAGTTCATATACTCCTCATCATCCTTATGTTTCCTCTCCTCATCATCCTTATGTTTCCTCTCCTCGTCATCCTTATGTTTCCTCTCCTCGTCATCCTTATGTTTCCTCTCCTCGTCATCCTTATGTTTCCTCTCCTCATCATCCTTATGTTTCCTCTCCTCATCATCCTTATGTTTCCTCTCCTCGTCATCCTTATGTTTCCTCTCCTCATCGTCCTTATGTTTCCTCTCCTCATCGTCCTTATGTTTCCTCTCCTCATCGTCCTTATGTTTCCTCTCCTCATCATCCTTATGTTTCCTCTCCTCATCATCCTTATGTTTCCTCTCCTCTTCGTCCTTATGTTTCCTCTCCTCATCATCCTCAGGCTTTCATCTCCTCTTCATCCTCAGGTTTTCCTCTCATCCTCAGGTTTTCCTCTTCATCCTCAGGTTTTCCTCTCATCCTCATGTTTTCCTCTTCATCCTCAGGTTTTCCTCTTCATCCTCAGGTTTTCCTCTTCATCCTCAGGTTTTCCTCTCATCCTCAGGTTTTCCTCTCCTCCTCATGTTTTCCTCTACTCCTCATCCTCAGGCTTTCATCTCCTCTTCATCCTCAGGTTTTCCTCTCCTCCTCATCCTTTCATCTCCTCTTCATCCTCCAGGTTTTCCTCTCTTCCTCATCCTCAGGTTTTATTCCCCATGATTTTCCTGTCTTTTCTGTAATCCAAATCCATTCAGTAACAACTTTGGACCTATTTCAGATTCCTGGGCTTGGCGGGGTTAAACATGACCCAAATCACTCATTAATCTGTGAATCAACAATATTCTGAATGTCGCCCATGAATTCCCCCATCACGTGTTCCCATCACGTTAGCGAGCGGTAAAGTTACGCTATGCTATTGTGTCACATGTTCCCGGAGTGAAGTTGTACTCAAGTTTTCAGACAATGCTCTCAGAGGGGAGCCGCACGTCAGAGCGGAATGTAAGTAATGTTCCCTTTTCATTGGGAGAGAGAAAGCTGCATTATTCTGGGATCTGCAGCTCCAGCCTCACGGATATAAGGCGTGAGCACCACATCTGACGCCACCACACTCATCCCCGGTGCTGCCAGACTTCCCCCATCCTTCACCTGGCACAAGTAACCACAGGAAGATCTGTGAGTAGCTCTGAAATCTGAAAAGACAAACAATGTGTTCTTCATGTGTAGATTATTACGCTTTGCAGAAGATGTTATTTGGGAAGACAAGTCAACCGGAAAGTTACAGGTGGAGACTTCTGGATACTAATATCTTATGGGGACTCCAGAAGTAAAGTTTCCCCACCATAGTTCCCTGGCTTTGTTCCCCTGCAAGCTGATCTTTACTTTTCAGCCAACCTTAGTGTGACTCGCTCCTCATCTTACAGTGCCCACAATATAAAACTCAGTCCAGGGATGGTGGGAACCGCTTATAATGGGCACAGCAGATGTGTAGATCCTGAAACTCAGAGCAGAGATGCTGGTAGTCCCTCATAATGGGCACAATAGGTGTACAGACCCAGGAACTGGGTACAGAGATGGTGGGAGCCCCTCATAATGGGCACAACAGGTGTGCAGACCGAGGAATTCAGCACAGAGATGGTGATAGCCCCTTATAATGGGCACAACAGGTGTACAGACCCAGGAATTCAGCACAGGGATGGTGGTAGCCACTCATAATAGGCATGGCAGGTGTGCAGACCCAGGAGCTCAGCACTGGGATGGTGGTAGCCTCTCATAATGGGCACAGCAGATGTGCAGACCCAGGAACTCAAGTTGTACTCGAGTACAAGGGTGATGGGAGCGCCTCATAAGGGACAGAGCAGGTGGAAAAGGAGTGAGAGCAGGGGAGAAAGGGATCCCAGCTGATAACACACTGCCCGACCTGCCTATAGAGCCAGAACCTTCATAGACACTTAGTGGAGGAGTTATAGTATTATTGATAATATATTAATACTCGGTGCTGTACTGATCAGAATGTCACATGTGAGCTGCAGGATTAGAAGGGGGACCCAAGCCTTAAAATTCCAAACTGTGAAAATGTTTTTCTTATTTTAGTACCTTTTTTTTTTATCTCTGCACATGTCTTGGTAGATTCTCCAAGAGAACAGAGAGGGAGGTGCTGGGGATGCTGAGAGAAGTCAGAGGACTCACTAAAGTTGAAGGAAGATAGAGAATAGTAGTTGGGAATATAAAGCAGACCCCCACCTAGTAGTAGTTTTATTCAGGTGTGCCTAGAGCATCATGGTGTCTACATACAGTTCTGAATGTGATGATGATGATGATAATAATAATAATGTTCTGTCATTGAAGCAGACATTGGACTCTGGGCCTGGAATGGACCCCTCACACAGGGAGAGTGCGCAGTTGTGTTCAGGCTCCTCACATGGCCGACCGTCTTCTGTGTGTCAGTGCCCAGGGCTCCCTGCGAGGAAGGGGTGCTGCGAGGGGCTCAAGGTGGGTCCACAACCATCCAACATCTGTATACCGGATGAAAATATATTAAAAAATAAGTTATGCACAAAAGCTTCTGTACTGTCTGAGGTGACTGATGGAGAAATGTGGAGGAATTTGCGTTCTGTAGAAGTTACAATTTGGTGCATTTGATGCGTTGACTTGACGCAGTAATTGCGCACATGTTGTCCATGCAGGTTGCACTCACTGGCATCCATCTCCGCAGATATCCCTGGCCGCCATGTGCTTCGTCTACTTCGCTAAGGCCTTGTCCGGTAGTTACCTGAAGAGTACCATCACCCAGATCGAGAGACGCTTCGAGATCCCCTCCTCCCTGGTCGGCATTATTGACGGGAGCTTTGAGATGGGTATGTATGCGGAGGAGCGCTGACCGCCGGCTGAGGGCCCGCCTACACAGGGATGGTCGGCTAGTTTACGCTAGAACAGTTTTCCAACTTCTAGTTCCAACTTGCACCAAATAATCTGCATTATTTACACTTCCATGCGTTTAATCTGCAGATGGCTCGGCTCTGCCTGCACACCTCCATGCCAAACGTTTGAGGAACTCTAGGGATTAAAGAGGAACTTTACCCATATCTAAGTAATGACAATCTACACACACACGTACTTCTAGATAATTGCCGGCTTTTTATTCCTTGCATACTTTATTTTCCTTTTCCTCCCCATTCTTCTCACAGCAGCCATTTTTACTAAGGGCAGGTTACTAGATCTCCCTTTACTTCCTGGAACTCTGGCACATGTGACTAGGACATGTGACCATGCACATGATCTCAGTGGAGGAAATTGCCTTTCCCTGAGATCTCGTGAGATTACAGATGGGATTTCCCAGCAATGCTCTGCTGATGTAATCTTCCCAGAATGCAATGCTTGGGCACATTACATCACTAATGCCCAAGAGGACCAGGAAGTGGAAAAACAATAATTGTAAGTAAAAGAAAAATAGGTTTGACTAATGAATGTAAGATGATTTCTGATCAGAATGGAGATCTGCATTCTGAGGTGGTTTTTAGTGAAAGGGGGCAAAGATCTGCTTTAACAAATTTAACCCTTGCAGTGGGGCTACCCCCAAACTGCAAAGAGTTAACTGCTCATTTCGGGATAGGGGTTGAATTAAAGGAGAACTATGAGGTGAGTGCTTTTCACTCACCTCATAGTTCTAGCCAACCTGTGACAATGAGACTGTCACAGGTCGGCTCAGTAGATCGGGAGGTGAGCGAACATATACCGGCGTTCGCTCACCCCTCCCCGCTCCGCCAGTGCTGACTGGCGCAACAGACGGGGGAGGGGGCGGGTACAGCTGGCTCTGCCTCTAGATATACGAAGGGACTCCAACTCGCCCCCTCTGTGATAGCAATTAAGTTAAGTGGAAAAAAAAAAAAATAGTAAATATACTTACCTGATCCTTGATCCCGCCCAGCTGCTACACCGGTCCCCACAGCACAGATGTTTCCTGAAGAGGCTGTGGGGAGATGGGGCAGACGGAGGGGTCTGTGCATACAGATGATTTCTTTGTGTCAGTTGTATTGTTACATTGTTTCCTTTTCTCTTCCTTCGCTCATTGTGTCATTCTTTCCTTCTTTTCCAGGAAACCTTCTTGTCATTATGCTGGTGAGCTTCTTTGGAGCAAAACTTCACCGGCCGAGGCTGATCGGGGCCGGCTGTCTGCTCATGTCACTGGGAACATTCTTAATTGCGCTGCCACACTTTATTATGGGTCGGTAAGTCCGGCTGGGAAGGTCACACAACAAGATGCTGTGGAATTCAGAGCGGGGAGAATGGTGGAGCTTCTGTGTGTGATGGGAAATGTTTCTGGGTCTGGGGACAGATATACAGGTTAGGAGTCCTGACATTGTGACCACTAGGTGCTAAAGTACGGATGAGGATGACAGCCCTGGGGACCGCATCTTTAGGAATAGCAGGCTGTGTATAATGGTGTGACGGTTGTATGTTATACAATGATGACCATTAGATAAAGTTACACACACTATATAGAGGTTATAGGGTGATATATATATCACTTAATATGACATATCTGTGACTGATGTTCTTTCTGTGTATTATACAGATATATATACGAAGGGACTCCAACTCATCCCTCCAATTCTACCATCACCGTCCCTCCATGTCTGCGAGATTATAAGGACCAAAAATTGTATTCAGCAATTTACAAATCTCGCACGAATACTGACCGTGGTGAGAGACTTCCAGTGATCATACTACACACTGTACAATCACAGCCATCCACATCACTGACATCACAGCCATCCACATCACTGACATCACTGCCATCCACATCACTGACATCACAGCCATCCACATCACTGACATCACAGCCATCCACATCACTGACATCACAGCCATCCACATCACTGACATCACAGCCATCCACATCACTGACATCACAGCCATCCACATCACTGACATCACAGCCATCCACAGCACTGACATCACAGCCACCCACATCACTGACATCACAGCCATCCACATCACTGACACACTGACATCACATCCATCCACATCACTGACACACTGACATCACAGCCATTCACATCACTGACACTTGGGGGTCCCATAATAATGACACACTGACTGTTGGGGCTCTGGGAACAGTGACACTAGGGGATCCTAAAGACAAACTGACACTTCGGGGTCCCAGAACAATGACACAGGCACTTGGGGTCCTAGAACAATGACACACTGACACACTGGGGTCCCAGAACAATGACACACTGACACTTGGGGTCCCAGAACAATGACACAGGCACTTGGGGTCCTAGAACAATGACACACTGACATTTGGGGTCCCAGAACAATGACACAGGCACTTGGGGCCCCAGAACAATGACACAGGCACTTGGGGCCCCAGAACAATGACACAGACACTTGGGGTCCCAGAACAATGACAATGGTAGAAGGCTACAATGTTCTCTTCATCTTTGTTGTCTCTCCCCGGGTCTGTCTGATCTCTTTGCTGAGTCTTTTCTTGTGTTGGTCTCAGGGTGTGACAAGGATATTGTGAGCGCCATGTGGCTGTGCGTATTATTGGGGAATCTGTTACGTGGAGTGGGGGAAGCACCGATCCAACCCCTGGGGATCTCGTATATCGATGACTATGCAGGGGAGGACAACGCGGCCTTCTACATTGGTAAGCTACATTATTATTATACAGGATTTAAATAGCGCCAACAATTCGCTCAGCGCTTTACAAAATATTGGAGACAGTACAGTTACAATACAATTTATAGTACAATACAGTTTCAGAACAATAGGGTTGGGAGGGCCCTGCTCGTGAGAGCTTACAATCTAGTAAGAGGGACAAGTGATAAATCAGGTTCAATTCACAAAGCTTTAACCCAAGGACTCAGCTCTCCAATTTAGTCATGTGACTGTAATTCTCAAATCTCATTGGTCTCAGCTGAAAGGTTACTTTTGTGAAAATATGTGTACTGATCATGGTGTGATCACTGTGTGAATGGAGCGTAATGTCCTCCAGAAGGAAACTGCAAACCACCATATTGTTCTGTGTGCTGGAGTCACACAACCAGGGCGTGGGGCTCATTCACTAAGCTGTGTGATACACACCACCCAAAGCTCCATCCATCCCAGGGGTAATTCAGTGGTCAGACATGCTTTTACATGACAGTAAATAAAGGTCAGAATACTTTGAATGAGCCCCAGCGCAGCACAGCGAGGACTTTCCTGCCGCATTACTAGAAAACTCACCACACGAGATGTTATCATGTAAAAGTCGGTTTGTATGCAGCGTCTGACAGTTCATCAGCTTGTAGAATGTAGATTTTATTATTGTTTAATTTGAGGACATGCGTTATGTTGGGTGCAGTGCGTAAGCGTTATACTCGGATCTCCGAATACTCGCACGGCCATCTTGTGTAGTTGTAGAATCTTCTGTAATTCTCATATAGAACAATGACACAGGCACTTGGGGTCCTAGAACAATGACACACTGACATTTGGGGTCCCAGAACAATGACACAGGCACTTGGGGCCCCAGAACAATGACACAGGCACTTGGGGCCCCAGAACAATGACACAGGCACTTGGGGCCCCAGAACAATGACACAGACACTTGGGGTCCCAGAACAATGACAATGGTAGAAGGCTACAATGTTCTCTTCATCTTTGTTGTCTCTCCCCGGGTCTGTCTGATCTCTTTGCTGAGTCTTTTCTTGTGTTGGTCTCAGGGTGTGACAAGGATATTGTGAGCGCCATGTGGCTGTGCGTATTATTGGGGAATCTGTTACGTGGAGTGGGGGAAGCACCGATCCAACCCCTGGGGATCTCGTATATCGATGACTATGCAGGGGAGGACAACGCGGCCTTCTACATTGGTAAGCTACATTATTATTATACAGGATTTAAATAGCGCCAACAATTCGCTCAGCGCTTTACAAAATATTGGAGACAGTACAGTTACAATACAATTTATAGTACAATACAGTTTCAGAACAATAGGGTTGGGAGGGCCCTGCTCGTGAGAGCTTACAATCTAGTAAGAGGGACAAGTGATAAATCAGGTTCAATTCACAAAGCTTTAACCCAAGGACTCAGCTCTCCAATTTAGTCATGTGACTGTAATTCTCAAATCTCATTGGTCTCAGCTGAAAGGTTACTTTTGTGAAAATATGTGTACTGATCATGGTGTGATCACTGTGTGAATGGAGCGTAATGTCCTCCAGAAGGAAACTGCAAACCACCATATTGTTCTGTGTGCTGGAGTCACACAACCAGGGCGTGGGGCTCATTCACTAAGCTGTGTGATACACACCACCCAAAGCTCCATCCATCCCAGGGGTAATTCAGTGGTCAGACATGCTTTTACATGACAGTAAATAAAGGTCAGAATACTTTGAATGAGCCCCAGCGCAGCACAGCGAGGACTTTCCTGCCGCATTACTAGAAAACTCACCACACGAGATGTTATCATGTAAAAGTCGGTTTGTATGCAGCGTCTGACAGTTCATCAGCTTGTAGAATGTAGATTTTATTATTGTTTAATTTGAGGACATGCGTTATGTTGGGTGCAGTGCGTAAGCGTTATACTCGGATCTCCGAATACTCGCACGGCCATCTTGTGTAGTTGTAGAATCTTCTGTAATTCTCATATATTATAATCATCGATGTCTTACACTATATCATATCATCTGGTCTTCAGGCTGCATCCAGACGGCGGCCGTGATCGGGCCCATATTCGGGTTCCTCCTGGGATCCCTCTGCGCGTCTTTATTCGTAGACGTTGGGTTTGCGAATTTAGGTCAGTTTAAAATTTTTGGTTCCATGTCATAGAGGGAATTTATCAGAAATGGAGCAGACAAAAAATGGAGCAGTTGCCCATGGCAACCAACCAGCTTCTCTATTTCATTTTCAACCCTGAACTGAACAAACTGAAGAGAGAAGCTGGTTGCCATGGGCAACTTCTCCAGATTTAGTCTGCTGCAGTGTTGATAAATTCCCCCCCTATGTATTTACAATGTATGTATACAATATTTGAAGGTCTTTTTAAAAAGGGTTAAGCTGGCCATACACTTTTTTCTTCTTCAGCCCTGTGGGCCAGCAATGCTCAGCAGGACTGGGCCATAATTGGAGCAGTTAATGCAGAGTACTATGTACTATAAATTGCGCCTTTGGCTTCCTGCCCAGCTTCTGTCAACCAGTGATGTCACTGGTTGCCAGGAGCTGTGTGAAACACCGGCAAGAGCATCCCAGGTTGCTAAGAGCCCGGCGAAGAGATGTGTAAGGGCCATACACATCTCTTCGCTTGGCTCTTAGCAGCCTGGGACGCAATGGCCAGCAAGCCGCCTGCATATACATCTCCCTGCCCACTCTGGTTGCTAAGAGCAGGGACACTTACACATCCCTCAGTCTGGCTCTTAGCAACCTAGGATGCTCTGGCTGGTGCCCCACCAGCTCCTGGCAACCAGTGATGTCACTGGTTGCCAGGAGCTGGGTGGTACGCTGGCCAGGGTGTCCCTGGTTGCTATTAGCCGAGCGGGGAGATGCATATGGTAGAGGGGTGGGGAGAGAAAAAGAAGTCAGCTGTCTCTGTGGGTCGGTGAACTTTCGCTGACCCACGAAGTGGTGCTCCCCCCCTTCAAGTGGCGAACAGGGCATGTTCCATATGTGCTTTACCCTGGATACGCCACTGAATGTATGGCAAGCTTTGCAAAAAAAATAAAAAGGACAAGGTGAAATGTCTTGATATCACCCAGGAAGAACAGGAGGATATCTGAAAACTATGAGCAAGTTAGGTTGTAACCTGTGTGGCCAGAAGAAAAGAAACCCAAAATAGAAGTTTTTGCGGCAGTGCCATATTGTTACACTTTCCCCGGTCCCGCTCTGTATAGAGTACACCATTCCAGTGTGTATATGGAGCGGGGGCACATTTGGGGTAACACCATCCGAATTTCTGTGTATGTAGTGAGGTGAACCAACTTATATAAACCTGTATTGACAGGTGACAGGCAGAAGCCAGGCTGAGGGATATCCTAGGAAGTTTATCTAGTAATGTTCACCCATATAAAAAATACAATTTACAGCAGATAAGGATGTTACTAAGCCCGCGCACAAATGCTACCCCCCCTCCCCCCACCTGCAGACAACATGACCTATATGCCTTTGTATGCATATACAGGTTTATTGAAAGGAAGTCAGCTGTGTACTGACAAATATCCTCCCTAAAGGATATGTTTGTGCAGATTTATTTCACTTTATAGACATCTGTAAACAAAAGTGTTCAGTTATTCTTCATCTTTTATTTATATTTTCACATTAAAAATGCTTTAATTTTCCTATATTTAGTTCAGAAAGTAGTCTTTAAGCACTCAGGAAATGTGATTTGTAAGCTGAGAGTTCTCTAAAAGTGATTTGTGGGTTCAGGAAGGAATTGGCGGATCATAGTTGTCATTTATTGGAATGTCATACAAAGATGGATGTTCTATGACGCTGACATATCTGCCATGTGTTCCGTCCAGACAGGATGCCGATCACTCCTCAGGACTCCCGCTGGGTTGGCGCCTGGTGGCTTGGATACTTAGTAGCCGGTGCCATTAGTGTACTTGCCACTATACCGTTTTGGTTTTTACCTAAGGAGCAACCGCGGCTGGACCTTCGGAAGAATTCTAGTACGCCCTCCGAACAGTCCAAATTCATTCTGGAAGATCTGAAAGCCTCCAAAACTGAGGGGACACTACTGAGCATGAGCAAAGGTAACAGAACAAGAGGGAATAATGTCTACTGAGTATCCCAGAATCTTCAAGTCCCTCTGCGTTTATTAGTTACACAATAGGGGACTCTCTAGTTTCCTAGTTTTGTTTCCTATTTCAGATTTCTTGCCCTCCCTGAAGGATCTTCTGGGTAATCCAGTGTTCCTCCTCTACCTGTGCGGCAGCATCTTTCAGTACAATTCTCTGGTTGGGATGGTGACCTACAAACCGAAATACATCGAGCAGCAGTATGGACAGACCTCCACCCGGACAAACTTCATCATCGGTAAGTCCATCACTGTATCAACCATACACTAAAAACGGGGTCTAAACATGGCCCTTTAATTGCATTTCATCTACCCCTGGGAGAATGTTCCTTCCACTCACATCAACAATGGAGCACTATTCCTCCCACTGACAACAGTGATAGGGCATTATTCCTCCCACTGACATCAATGATGGGATATAATTCCCCCCGTTGACACTAACATTTGGGCACTATTCCTCCCACTGATACCAATGATAGGGAATAATTCCCCCCATTGACATCAATGATAAGGCACTTTTCTTCTCACTGACACCAACAATGGGGGATTATTAATTTAACTGACCCCAATGATGGGGCACTTTTCCTCCCACTGACACCGATGATGGGGTGCTATTCCTCTCATTGACACCAGTGATGGGGCACCATGCCTTTTACCGACACCAATGATGGGGCACTATTCCTCCCACTGACACCAATGATGGGGAATATTTCTCCCCCCTTGACACTAACAATGGGGCAATTATTCCTCCCACTGACAACGATGATGGGGCATTATTTCTTTCATATGCATTAATGATGGGACACTATTCCTCCCATTGACATTAGTGATCAGGCAATTTCCCTCCAAATGACAACAATTATGGGGCGCTATTCCTTTCACTGACACCAATGAAGGGGCACAAATCTAAGATCAGCTCACTGTTTTTCCAAAAAGTCTCAGGTGTCCCATGCCCTTTAGCGTTGGTTTGCTGAAACTAGACTTTCAGCTATGAACTAATGAACTATTGTACTTATTATAACACTGGGGCTGATCATGTGATTGTAAATCAGCAGTGTAGATGAGAAGGGTAATGTCTTTATACCCCGTCTTAATATTGACATGACAGATGTAGGCAAGAAACTGCAAGAAAAATAGTGGGATTTAAAGGAGAACTATGAGGTGAGTGATTTCCACTCACCTCATAGTTCTAGCCGACCTGTGACAATGAGACTGTCACAGGTCGGCTCAGTAGATCGGGAGGTGACCGAACACATACCGGCGTTCGCTC